TTGTTAAAAATATGTAGGGAATCTATTTTACACAACATATATTACATATTACATTGATATATGTATACCTAGATAGTTCTGCTGTTTCGATATAAATAATATCTAATAGGTAATATAGAAAAAGGAATCAGAAATGTATATAATGGGACTGTTGGTATAATAGTTATATAGATATAGGCTAATAAGAAAACATGCGATAGATAATTCCACCAAGGAAATATGTGATCTTGTTACAATATAATTAATAAGAGCACGTTAAGCTGTAATTTATAATCGGTTATTATGTAATTAATATGCTTCCGTGATAGATGAGAGGCAACTTTAATTAAGATAGAAAATATTTTTTTTACTACTGTGACAATAATTATACAGGGTGTTTTTTAAGTAGTCTAAAAAGTAAAAAATTATGTTTTTAACTAAAAACTTAAAAAATTTCCAAAAAATTTTTAAAAAAATTTCGAATTTTCAATTTTTTTTTTCGCAGAGCCATTGATATTCTTTGGTAGCATTTCTTTTCTCATTCTGTGGTATATATTGTTTATTTTCGAGTGGTATGCCGGTATGCCCATTCCACTACATTTTCGTCTCCATTGTTCCAATGCTGCATCTAGGTAAATGTTGAATTAACTTGGAGATATTGGTTTTCTTATTATATTTCGAATGGAATAATGTAAAGCTAATACTAATAGATATCCATTACCGTGAGCTTAAAAATTAAATTGTATAGATAGGTCGTTCAGCTCACGATCACTCATTTGACATTTAACGCAGCAAGGAGTGCTCATGCTGGAAAGGTAGTTATGGCATTTCTTGTCTTAAATAATAGAGAGAACACTTTTTTAGTTAAAACAAACAATATAAATATGGCTTTTGACAATTTTAAAGTTTTATAAGTGAATTCTTTTAGCCAGATTAATATTAATAATGTAAAATTATTAAAGTACGGTAAAGTTTAGTAAGTATGTAAGTTTTCTAAATCGGATTGTTTTATCATGCAACAACAATTAATCGCCAAGATAAATAAAACAATAATGAAATTAATTTAGATTAATTATTCGTTAATAACGTGAAATTAATCAGTTTCAATTGTCTTAATTGCGCAGAACGTTTTAATTGATTTTTGCCAAGGTAAAGATTGTGTTTATCCATCTATAAAAAATATGTTCTTCTTTGTTATGGTTTAATCTCAAACAAAGACTGGTAGGTATAAGAAGTAGGTACAGAGTTTTCAGAGATATTTAGTGCAGTACCTGTAGACTTATCAAAGGGTAGTAAGAAACTTTAAATGTAGGGGTTTTAAGGTTTCGCCGCTTTAAAATTGAACCCCCAGAAAGTAAAATAAAAATCAAAAAAGCCTATCCCAAAGTTTAAAAAATATAACTTTACTTTTTATAGCCACTATATAGTTATCTCAGAAAAACCTGTATATATTCTGAAAAAAATGTATAGAATTTTATTCACGCACTTTTACCATGTTAACAACGTTTTCAAAACATTCCAAATTCTCAAAAAAAAAATTCGCGGAAAAAATTCAATATCGTGTTTCTGGGGTAGAAATATACCTCAAAATAAAATAAAACACTAAATCACCACAATACTAACTTATACTTTAAAACTAAAAAAAGTTTATAATCATCTGCTGATGATGCTAACATGGTTAGCGAAACGCGCGTCCAGTGTAAAAGTAAAAGTTTTATGGTGTATTGTGGTGATTTAGTGTTTTATTTTGCTGTGTAGCACCAAAGGTTCCAACCCTCAACTGTAATATAAGAAATATACCTACTACCTCGAAAAATAGTTGCAGTTATTTAAGAAAAGTTTATGATTAATTATTGAATAAAAAAGTTCCCAAATTTATCATTTTAGTCAAATAATTATTTATTCAACATGTTTATTTTTGGTCAATAATGACACGTATTGACTATTTCCATTCTAAATATCTTGAGAATGGTTGGTCGTAGCGATTTTTACCAAGAGGCCTTTCTTACGTAAAAAATGACGAAAATGTATAGTTTTTCACTCAGTAGGTTTTATACAGGTACGGACGAAAAGTTATTACCCTTAAAATCATTTAAAAAACATATAGGTGGTGTACCCTATAGTAGGAGTCATATTGACATAGAAATCAAATTTCTCATATGTCAAAAAACACTCAAACATAAATTTTATCCAAATATCGGATAATACTTGGAAAAAATTAAAATTAAAATTGAAAGTTCTACACACTGTATCTTCGAAACGAACTAAATAAATTTATATGAATTTATTTTTATCTGCAAAAGTTTCCCGAACACAATTCGGACCACCTTGTATACTGATTTGAAAATTTTAATACGGAAACGCATAATCAAATATCAAACCACATATTGTTTTAATAGATATTGTAATGAATATCTTATTATGCAATTCAATTAATTGTCCTCCGCACTGATTAGCAGATATTCTTAAATCATTAATCAATATAAATATAACTGGGCATATTCTCCATTGTACTTCTTACGTGACAACATTGAATTGATACGTGAATGTATAATTTTACATTTCCGCTCGATTTGAGACTTTCATGGTTATTATATTCATAATGAAGCTATTAATATGTAGTATTTGGCTTTCGGAACAATTTTTGCAATTACCTGAGCAAAATTATATCTGGGATTGATTAGAGTTTACCTTACCGTATTATATCTAGGTTTATTAACAAAAAACGTTTTTTACTCTTATAAAAAATCGCTTTTGTTTATCTCATTTGACTGATGAGAATTAATAATTATTCTCTCCATAGGTAAATAATGGTAATTAAACACACATTATTAGGTTAAAAGTTAAAATACAGGGTCGCTGTTATGTATGGAAACGGTCGATTATTAGGTAAAATATAGAAGGTACCGCAAAAAGTTAAATACAAAAGTTATATTAATAAATTCATGTATACAGGGTCGGTCATAAAGTCATGGCACATTACAGTTTTATTTTTTTTAAATAGAAATCTTCTTATTAATTTATAAAAAATAGAATCTTCCTTCAATTCTAAACAGAAATCGAAATACACACAATGTACTTCAAGCCAATCGTTTCCGAGTTATTGACTTTTGAAAATATCACTTAAACAATTTGATTTAATTAATTTCGATATGTTCAGTTTTATTTAACGATGCTATTCTGCCGAAACTGTGATACTTAATAATATTTGATATTTATTAGTTCTCAAGTTAGCATTTATAGATATATAAAATGAGATTATATCGAGCCTGGAAATTACAAAATTTAAGTTTAACCTTTCAATTCCTCAATTTATGTACATTGTGTATTACGATTATTGCTTAAAATTGAGGAAGAATTAAGATATGCAATAATATACAGGGGGTTTCATTTAAAAAAATAGTTTGATGTGCCACAACTTTATGACCGACCCTGTATACTTAAATTTACTAGTAGCTAATAGGTACTTAAAAACTCATCACAACAGTATCACAGTTTTGGCAGAATGACATCATTAAATGAAACTGAATATTATATCGATATTAATTAAATCAAATTGTTTAAGTTATTCAAAAGTCAATAACTCGGTAACGGTTGGTTTGAGGTACATTGTGTGATTTCGATTTTTGTTTAGAATTGAAGGAAGAATTGAAATATGTAATAATATACAGGGATTCTATTTAAAAAATGGAACTTTGATGTGCCACGACTTTATGACCGATCCTGTATACATAAATTTAATACTAGCCAATAGACATTCAAAAACGCTATAATTTTTGTATTAAACTTTTTGCGGTACCTTGTATATTTTACCTAAGTAATAATCGACCGTTTCCATACATTTGCGACCCTATGTTTGAATAAAAAGATAAAGGAAAGAACATATCCATCAAATGTATCCTTCCTTTCTACTTATTTTTTAAAAGTGTAACGTGTAAACATATATACTGTAGAGTAGACTCAATAATTTGTTGGTTTTGTTTTACGTAGTCAATAATACGAGTAAATGCTATTAATTATTAAAATTTTTAAAAAATATATATATACCGGGTGCGTCTTAAAAGTAGCTCACCCCTATAACTTTTTTTATTTTTTCAGATAAAAAAACAAGATGTGGTAGGTATGTTAGTATATGAAATAAATTAAGATTGATTGACGTATTCATATGCTAATAAGTCACCCTCGTTCCATTTAAAAAAAAAATGACATATGATTAAAAATACCTTTCGAGTACCTATCTCTTAAAAATATTAGACGATCAAATTTATTTTTCCAAGGCTCCTTGATTAAAAACTAGTGTTTTTAACACAGCCATGGCGCACTCTAGATTGAAATTTAAAATACGATTTTTTTTAAACGAAAATGTCAAAAGTTGACATATGATGTCATTCTATTCAGTCTAGTAAAAGTGTCATTTTCTATCGAATGAAGAAAAAAAAAATCCCGAGGGTGCTATTTAAAAATCAAAAGCTGTAGTCATTTCCGGTGAAATAGGAAGTGGCCGAAAAGAGTTGAATCCGTCAAAAATCCTATTTTATGTCATATACTAACATACCAAATCTCGTTTTTTTATTTGGGAAAATAAAATAGTTCGTTCTCATTTTCGGCTTTTTTTTTTGCTTTGGCAAATAGATGTCAATCCCGGGATTCAGTAGGAAAGTTTGTCTCGAAAAAGCCCGGGATAAAATTAAAAAATCCGGCGATTAAAACCGATTTTTATGCATATATTAATTTGCTTTTTACTATTTAAAAACTAAAATAACAATCAACATAAAAACCGACAAAGTTTAGGACACTGATTGATCTAAATATATTACAAATTTTGGACTCATATTAGCTCAAATATACGTTCACACCCTGTAAATTGTAACAATATCAGAGTGTGACTTTTACATTATTTGTATAACATACCACCTACTTATTTTAATCAGTTGCTTTAATGGTGTCGTTTTAAAAATATTACGTATAACAATCCTGATAAGATAAACCGATTAATTTTCTTAAAATTCTTTCTTTTTCAGACACGATCAAATAGCATTCAGCCTGGCGTGGTTCAAGCCCCTGTCCGATGACATTAAAAGAAACACGAAGAGAATGCAAAAAGACAACTGGAATCGTTCCTAAAATATCCTTTCGCTAAAATTGTCGTGACGGACGTGCTGGTGATGTGATATTTTTAAATCGTGCAGACGCCCGCCAATTCGAAAACAGCCTTATCAAAAAAACTCGTGTACAATAAATCATCGACAATGGTGCTCAGCGCGTTTAATCCAATTTTGTTGTCGATGTTCGGTCGTAATTCGATGTGACAGTGTTTGTAAAAAAGTGTGATTGCGTCGATTAAATTATTATTATCTTATCAGGCGATAAAAGTCGGGAATCTAGGAAACTACTAAAAAAGTGACGGTTTCTATTGTCTTCGCTCCGATGGGCGGTATCAGCTAGTACTCATCGCATTTCATCCAATCAAAATGTGCAAATGTTGTCAAAGGTGAGTGTTTTCGTATCAAATTTAGTTAAAAAATGTGGATCTTTAAAATATTTAATTTTCGTTTATTAATCCGAATTTCAATTTTTAAATAAAAAAATTATTAAAAAAACGAATACCGTAAAACGGGCCTACTTCGGACAGTTTTTGAGGTTTTTTGTAAGTTTCTTGAACTAAGTGTGTTCAAATTCAACCAATATTTCTTGGACTTCGGACATGCCTTTAAAAATGTGTAAATTTGATGTTATACCAGTTAAAAGGAAACTTCGGACAAAAATATAAGTTTTAAAAAAAATCAAGTTTATTTTTTAATAAAAACTCAAAAAATTAATAACTTCAAACATTATTTAAGACATTTTTATTAAAAAAGATTGATTAGTTCTAAAAATATCAGTCAAAAACTTTGCCTCTTTCTCGATACTCAGCACTGGTTGCCGTCCTGGATTATTATCATGCGAATCCCCTTAACTTTATCCCCAATTGTGGATTTGGGAATCCTATAATACTCAGCCGTCGCTCTTAAGGTTTTTCGCTTGGCTTTGACATCTGCTACTGCTTGCTGTAACCTCTCTGGTGAATAATTTTGGTAGGGGCGACTCCCCAGTTGCTTTTTGTAACTTCGAACCATGTCCGAAGTTATCCTTCAAAATATGATTTTTTTGCTTACGACCATCTGAAAAAAAAACTGAATGATTAAAAATCTTCAAATTACATAAAACATTTTCAGATAATATACCTACTGGATACTGGAAAAAGTACGACTTTATGAATAATAGGTTTAGTTGTTCGCCAGTTACTTTTTCCACTTTAAAAAAACAACAAAAATTGCATACTTAGAAAAATTGACGTAAAAAATACGCCAGGCCCGAAAAACACTCGGTACTTAAGAAACGTCTGAGGACAACTGTTTTAAACACGTTTCAGTCACTTGTGTCTAGCACTAGCAGGCAACTATTAAGCCCGACCAATCACGTTAGAGTTTTTGACCAAACACAAATGAATTAACACCCTCCAAATAACCACGCTAACCAACCTGATTGGTCAAGCTTAATAATTGCCTGCTGGGGCTAGACACTTCGAATAGTTTCGGAAATTTAAACTAGGATTATCGCAACTAAATACACATTTTCGGTTGGCATCAGACATTATTTTTGTACCCCTCTTCTCTCGATATTCGATAATTCGATCCCAGGAACATGCCTATGATTTGAAATGTTTATTTTGAAATTTATTTAGATTTTTTTTTTCGATTTTCAATTAAGAAACATATAATCACAAGATTAAACGAACTTACCTGAAGTGAAGTTCTGTTCCAGGCCACAAGCGGCCGCTTTGATGATTTCGCTACACCATCAATTTTTTTCTCTTTCAAGGACCCGTTGTCCGAATTTACCCGTGCTGTCCGAAGTAGCCCCGGTTTACGGTACCTATGTTTTTTTTTTAATTTAGGAATCGAATATTTTATTTAAAAAGCGTTAATATTGGTTTTCAAATCACATTTTTAAGTTTATGAAGATAAAATTAGATTTTACATCAAGTCTGTTTGAAAATTTTATTGTGTTTTCAATTCAAACAAGGTTTTCAATCTTGAAATTAACGGTATAAACATATACAGGGTGGTCCGAATTTTATTCGGGAAACTTTATTAATTAATTAAAAAATTCGTATAAATGTATAGCCTAAAATGCTTCCTTTAGAAGATACAGTTTCACTTTTATTTTGATTTTTTCCAAATAATTTCTGAACTAACGTAAATATTTTGATGAAAATTGTTTTTGGGTGTTTTTTGATATGAGAAATTTGGGGGATTTCAATGTCAATGACTCCTACTTATAGGAGGCGCCACCTACATATTTTTCAACTGGTTTAAAGAGTAATAACTTTTCGTCTGTTAAAATTTCCTTTTTCCCTCTGGAACTCTGGACCTCAAAATTTCCCACAAATCGGGAAATTTTCCACGAGTTGGCATCACTGTTCATCATGATTTTTCTCTCCTTAATAATTTTTAAGTTCCCAAATTTATCATATTAGCCAAGTAACTATATCTAGTCAACATGTTTATTTTTCACAATAATTACATCTATCGATAATTTACTTTCCAAATATCTTGATAAAGGTTAGCCGTAGGCTATATTTTTTTACTGAGTAGTTTTACCTGTATAAGATCTATCCATAATAATTTTTAAGTTTCCAAATTTATCATATTAGCCAAGAAACTATATCTAGTCAACATGTTTATTTTTTCACAATAATTATATGTATTGATAATTTACTTCCCAAATATCTTGAGAAAAGTTAGCCATAGGCTATATTTTTTTACTCAGTAGTTTTACCTGTATAAAATCTATCCATAATAATTTTTAAGTTCCCAAATTTATCATATTAGCCAAGTAACTATATCTAGTCAACATGTTTATTTTTTTCATAATAATTACATGTATTGATAATTTACTTTTCAAATACCTTGAGAAAAGTTAGCCGTAGGCTATATATTTTACTCAGTATTTTTACCTGTATAAAACATCCAAATATTTTTTAATAAGTTTTACCTGTATAAAACTACTGAGTAAAAAAATACAGCCTACGCCTAACCTTTCTCAGGATATTTGGAAAATAAATTATCAATAAATGTAATTGTTGTGAAAAAATAAACATGTTTACTAGATATAGTTACTTGGCTAATATGATAAATTTGGGAATTTAAAAATTATTATGGAGAGAAAAATTATGATAAACAGCGTTGCCAACTCGTGGAAAATTTCCCGATTCGTGGAAAATTTTAAGATCCAGAGCGAAAAAGGAAATTTTAGCCCAAAAGACCATATTCTTGGGAAATTCCAAATTCGTGTATTATCCATGAAAAATAGTTTTAAAAAAATAATTAAAAATTTAAAAAAATAGTTTCGGAAATTTAAACTAGGATTATCGCAACTAAATACACATTTTCGGTTGGCATCAGACATTATTTTTGTACCCCTCTTCTCTCGATATTCGATAATTCGATCCCAGGAACATGCCTATGATTTGAAATGTTTATTTTGAAATTTATTTAGATTTTTTTTTTCGATTTTCAATTAAGAAACATATAATCACAAGATTAAACGAACTTACCTGAAGTGAAGTTCAATCTTGATTATATGAAGGTCTCGTCGAAATAAATAAGTACAATGTAGTACCCTTTTCTGCGTACTGCGACCACACATTTTAAAGCCTAAACAAACAAATTTCAACATGCCCCTCGCTTCCCTGCTCCCTTACCTCATAATATGCCCTTGCATCATTTCTTATTTAGTCAATTTAAAGATACTTATTATGTTGTTGTAAATTGAGGTTGAGGGTGGGAGGGAACTTATTTATTTCGACGAGACCTTCATATAATCAAGATTGAACTTCACTTCAGGTAAGTTCGTTTAATCTTGTGATTATATAGGTCTCGTCTCCATAAATAAGTACAATGTAGATTTTAAAGTAATAACAACAACATAATCTTTTCTCCCATTTCTATATTGAAAATATATAAAGATTAATTTCTCAGCAAAACTATTCTCATTATCCATCAAGGATCTATTGTAAACAGTAGCGAACATTCTAGAATTTTTTAGACCAACCAGCAGCGAGTCTGATGGTATCAAAATTTAACCCTTTCCTGGCAGCTGCTGAAGTTACAGCATGCCGTGTACTATGAGCGGTAAAATGATCCGTATCAATCCTACTCTTATTTAGGACAATTTTAATCCAGCTCCCCAAGGTTTGAGTGGATGTTTTCTTATGCGGTTTCTTGATTGTTACGAAAACAGAAGTTATACTTCCTCTAATGCTCTCTGTTCGTTTTAGATACTCTACTAACGTGCTAGCTACGCATAAATTAGCGTCTTTCTTGAAATAAGGTAAGCGTAAAAAGGGTTGCGGCTTATTTCTACCGAATGTTTTTAATCTTGCGCTAATTTTTATATGTATTTCCCCTAACTTCCGAAAAATTTCCCTTATATCAATAAGCGATAGTGTTTGTAAACGTTGACCCGATGCTAAGGCCAGTAATGTCACTAATTTATGCGTAAGCCCCTCCAAGGTTAACTCATAATTATTTTTTATTTTTAAATAATTAAGTACTACGTACGTAGGATCCCAGGTATTTTCGGACTTGGGCTTATTAGGTCTCAACATATATATTCCCTTAAAAAACCTTTGCATACGAAAATCTTGTAAGAGGTCTGGGCCCGCTATCTGTGCTATGGCTGCTCTATAAGAACTTAATGAGCTAAAAGATGCGCCTTCGTTAAAGAGTTGAGTCAAAATATTAGAACGTTGGAACCCGAAACCGAGAAGGGATCTAAGTTCTTAACGCTACAAAATTCCCACCATTATTTAAGCCCTGAGTTAGACTGTTTTAAGGTGTTACTTGTTATTGAAGACATGCAAATTTCCAGCGCTTCTTCTGGAACATTCCCTAAGAGCAAGGCTTGCCTGATAGCCGGACCTCCCGTCAGAGAAAGATGTTGGCTAACGGGTGGGGAGATCCGCTAAAAGAAGTAAATATTTATTAATTTAAAAAAATAATCGGCTCATCTATTAACATCGCCCTTAAAACCGAATACCAAGGTTGCGAAACCCAGTTGGGTACAACCATTATACCTTCTGCCTGATCAGAAATAATTTTTTTTCTTTTTGCAGAGCCTTTGGGACCATTGAAAATGGAGGGAAAGCAAAAAATAAAATGTTTCCCAGTTTGTTGTAAAGGCATCAATGGCGTACATATCTGGGTCCCTGTGCCACGATATGTATTTCTTGCATTTAGCATTTATATGCGTAGCAAACAAATCTATTTCCGGTAAACCCCACTTATAGTGACCAATTTCCCAAATGCCCAGCTCGCTAAACTCCATTCTGTCTCGACCTTAAATTCCCTGGAAGCCCTGTCAGCTTCCTTATTCTCTTGAGATCTAATATAAGAGGCTACGATAAATAATCTCCTTTCCTCACACCATTGCCAAATTATTCGAGGG